CAAATGAAAAAGTTTTATAAAATGAACATGATTGAATGTAAAATTCATAATGCTAACGAAAATGTTTCTCAAGCTACTGACGGTGATAAAAGTACCATAGGTTCACAAATAAACAAGCCATTAGAAAATTCATTTGCAAAAGTGCTATAGTGCAATATGTTTCCGAAAAAAAATCAGGCAATTGTTATAGATGCCATCGAAGAAATAGAGATAAAAACCTATTTTAAAGCCGTAGCTATACTAAGACTGTACCGACAAATATTGTCGCTGCCTTCAAAATATCATAGAACCGATTCTGCTGCTACTTTAATGATCCCAAACTAGTAGATCAACTAACAAAAGAAGACAATAACGTATTAAAACAGAATATAAACAGAATATAAAGAAAAAGAAACTGTTCCGTCAAAGGGCCCCTCCGGCTGATCTGGACAAAACTATAACAGAAGCAGTCGATAAAGTTCCATCCGATCTCGCTAATAACTTCCCACTAACAGCCGATGAACTAACGAAGTTTTTGGCACAAAATATAGTCACAAGTACAATGAAATACACGGATTAGTAAAAAATTACACTATCAGCAATATCGATGCAATCGTTGTTATGCTAAAGGAAGTGCACAAAAAAGTTTCATGTAGCAAGATCAAGGCACGAATTACTCGCATCTCGAAGCATTTACTAAACAAGGACTTCAACGACTAAACTGACATGGACCACGACGAATATAATTACTCGTAGACCTCTGACAACCAAGAAGACGAAGACACTGACACATCGATTACAAACTAAACGGTAGTGTACACGAATTAAAGATAAGAAAAGAAAAACATTTTCTTATAAGTGAATTAATAATTAATATAAAATATGAAAGCGCTCGGGAGCAATTGTACTTACCGTATTAAAATACGTATTTTATATTGGAATTCCCGTAGTGTATGTAATAAGATTGAGGAAATATAAAAAATTATACAAAATATTAATAATCCCATTTGCGTTGAATCATGGCGCAAAAATTATATTAAATTCAATTTTACTGGCTTTAACACGTTAGGCAAAGATAGAAAGCACAATAAAGCAGATGGTATTGTATTTATTATTCGTAAGACCTATATAATTATGCTGAGATTAAAAATTTACAAAATATTAATAATGACACTGAGATTTGTGGAATTGAAATAATGAACCTCAAAGAATCATTTTCTATCGTAGCATGCTACAAACCATCCGATATTAACTTAAATGATAATGGGTACTATCATAGACAATACCAAAATAAACGACAAATGTATCTTAATAGGAGACTTCAATACTCATAATCAGGCGTAGTACTGCTCCGAAACTGATATAGATAGGGAAAAATTATTAGAACAAACCAAAAATTACGATATATACCTACATAATAATGACATTGTCACTCGAGCCAAAATCAATAACCATAAAAATACTAGAAGCAATATCGATTTTGTTTTTTCAACAAAAAACATCTCACACCTTTTAAATGTTCAAGCGACCCATTAGCATCTGACCATTACTCTATTCACATAGACTACGACGTAAATAAATGCTGCTACTACTAGAAAACCTTTAAGCTTCAATCACAACGTACAAACTAGTCGCTGTTTAATGAATTACTTAATAACGATTATGAAAAATGTTTGCTTCTGAGCTATGACGCCCTTCCTTCAATAGAGAAATATAAATTCTTCACTGGTACAATTAAAAAATCTGTTGAAAAAAACACCCCTAAAAAAAACGTACAGCAAAACAGAACATAGAAGCCCGGTTGCTTGGTGGGACATTGAGTGTGATAGGGCCAAGTGACTAAGACTGGCCGCATACAAGAGGTGGATGTTCACTAACAAAATTACCGATTACATTGAATTTAAAAGATTAAGAGCCCTTGCTAAAAGAACTTTCAAAAGCAAACGTAAAGATCACTTTAAACAATTCACTGAAACGATTAATTTTAAAGTAAATTTAAAGTACACATGGAATACTGCAAAAAATTTAAAAAACAAATGGGATAGAATAAATTCTCAAAGTCACGATGCTTACCTACTTCAAAACGATAACATTGAGACTGCTATTGATAGCCTTTGCCCAGCCTGGATAGTAACTGATCCGAACTACCTACCCATTCCACAAGCCACGGATAATAATTTTTTCAATAGTCACTTTACGTACTCTGAATTTAACGTAACATTATGTTCTACAGGCAATAAATCGTCACCTGATACGAACGGCAACAATTATGAACTATTACATAACTTGCTATTTAAATACCACTTCCTACTCCTTAATACACTAAACAATATGTATGATAATGAAGTATAACCATACAGTTGGATTGACACATACGTACACTTTGTTGAAAAACCTAATGGAAACGGTCTACGTCCTCTTGCTCTGATATATTGTATTTGCAAGATTTTTGAACTGATGCTCTCCTTCAAAATTCGATTTTGGGTTGAACCAAACAAAATAATACCGGGCAATCAAACTGTCTTTAGGAAAGGCATGTCATTCGCTGATAATTAAATTACATTTAAACTAAACACTGAACATGCCATTAACAATGAAAAACATGTACTGGCAGTATTTCTCGACGTAAGCAAGGCATTTAATGACGTCCTAAGTGACGTCCTCATTTCAATACTTGCAAAAAATGGTCTTTCTGTCAAAGTTTTAAAGTTCATTAAATTTCTAACCTACCACAGATTCCTATTTACTGAAAATAATCTTACAAATCCTAAATACTGCTATAAAGAAGTCCCTCAAGGGGGGGGGGGCTGCTCAATCCATTGTTGTACATAATATATGTTGCCGGTTTGTTCATTGACATAGACACTGAAATCACAGGCCTTGAGTTTGCTGATAATTTAGTAATGTACACTGTCTCTGATGACTTGAAAAAAGCCAAAGAAAACATTGAGAATACACTAACACCTATTATTCATAGACTGAAAGCTCTACGCCTAGATATATCTCCAAAAAAAACAAACTTGATGCATTTTAATAAATTAGGTTACCACCCCGGTGATAGAGATTTAAAAATACTCGACACTACTATTACTTCTGCTAATCATGTTAAATTTCTAGGCCTTTACTTAGACCACGAGCTGAACTTTGACAGACAAATCAGTTATGTTATTGAAAAAACATGCAGATCAATGAACATTATTACATTTCTGAGAGGAATCACCTGGGGAGCTCATCCTAGCACATTACTCACATTTTTTAAAGCTATGTTAAAGCAATCATTGATTATGCCTTGTTTACATATTATTCAACTCAAAAGATAAAAAAAAACTAGAAAATATACAGTTTATGGCGATAAGATTGATTCTGGGTGCTAGGAAGAGCACCACTCCCACAAATATACTACTTGACGAAACGAAAATCATGATGATTAAACATAGAACTACAATGTTATGTGAAAATTACTTATTGAAAGCCTACAGTAGTGAAGGATTGCTAGTTAGGAAAACAATTGACAAACTTACGCCGCAAATAATTACTGACCGTAAGAAAAAAGTTAATGTTCTTAATCACAGTATTAAATGCATATTTAGTAAAGCATCACATTCATGTAGATAAGTTTTCCAGTTTGTATAGTTATGACTATAATATTGTTACGAATGTGATTTTTAATATTTTTTAATGCTTTTAATGTTGTAAAGTTCTAAGTCTGTGTTGTTGTGTATTTTATTTATTATACGCGAACGTAACAATATTATGAAAATTCAAGTACAAACTAATTTCGAGAATGTGTCATGCGAACTAATAATAAAATAATATAGTTATCTCCTGTAGCTAAGAACATATGTTATACACGCGTATTCGTTGCACACGCGGGCCGACTGAAGTAGAAGACATAAGAAAGGCCGAAACAAACAAACTGTACGCGGTAAATACATGATAGACCAGAAATGAAATAGAACATAAACAGCTGCAAACCTAAATAAACAATTAAGCGATATGACTCTCTTGGTTCCCAGGATATACTTATTCCTGAAGGAAGTGGTAGGGACTTATCTTAAGTTTGTGAGCCCCCGAGAGGGACAAGCGCAGGCAGTCCTGTACACGATCTCGCCTTGTAAAGACATCTCTCTGGAGCTCTGTCACTTTATAATAAAAGTATTATTATATAACTGCCGACTTCGACGCCTAGATTCCTGCAAGTACCCACACGCGCCTTATAACTCGACTATCGCTACCGCAGCGTGTAAAACTTGCCGTGACATTCATCAAAATTGGATGACATTTGGTGGCAGCAAGGGTGGAATAAAGAAAAAACGGTTAGAAAAAAAAACTACCAGTAGTATAATCGGACCGTTTAGTCAAGAGGCAGCATAGAGATCGCTCGACTCCGGATCATCACTCAGTTTCCAGAGAAGAGGACATTCCGAACGCACATTCTCGGCTGATATTGACTGGTGCAGCAGTTCTCAGAGAAGCAGCCGACATCGTTCATCAGCCTACACGCACAAATCGTTGCCGATTCAGGAGTCTCGCAGTTGCCAGGGGAGCAGCTCAACTTCAGCGCACGTTGTGCTCACGGATATATTCAGTGCTACCGTTTTTACGGCCCAACAGGGAGGTCCAAAGGACTCAAGGTACGCAAAAATAAATTTTAATAAGTTCAAAAAGTAAAGAACTTATTGCGCCGCGTTATATTTTGTAAACTGAAGTCTATGATTGAGATATTACAGAGAAAGTTGGCCCCACTTTTTCTGTCGTATCAGTGAGGTTATTTACCTTTCAATCATAAACGCAGTCGTAATTAATAAGCTTTCACACGCGTACATTCACATCACTACACTCGCGCTTGAAAAATAGGTTAGACTTATATGCTAGGTCGCGATACTTTTTGTAACTATCGAACTGTCGATAACGAGAGTACAGACTCTGACAAAACTTCCGGAACACAATCCTTAACAGACGTAACTGACCACTCACACGATAATCAGCGACATTCAAACATTTACTTACGACCTTCAAAAATGGATGCTCTTAGTAAATTCACGAAGAAAATAAGCTCAAGCGAAGATATTACCGAATCAGATAAAGAATCACAGCTGAGGAAGGAGCTTTTGTTACAACGTGAAAAAAATGAACGACAGCAGGTGCAAATTGACAATCTATCGAAACAACTCAACGAGCTTATGCAAAGTATACGGAAGGATGAAGTAATAATACCGGCAGCGCGAAGACAGCAGGGAAATTCAGCAGTTGAGCCGCCTTTGCCTTCAAATAATATTTCCACGGGGCAAGATACGTCCACGCGACTACGTTTACACAGGAATGCTTCGATGGGAAGATCATCAATTTATTCGTGAATTGTTGACTGAAATAAGGGAGTACGACGGATCAACTGACGTATCTGCATTTATAGATCAAATTATAAGAACAAGTAGGCAATTAGACTCTGATCCAACAATTTCTGCACTAATTAGGAAAGTTTGTGCATCAAAATTAAAAGGAAGAGCCCAGCAGGTAGTAGAAAGACACCAGGTAACCACTGCCGTGCAACTGAAAGAATGCTTAGAAACACACTTTGGCAAGTTAGAGCTTGAATACGATCAACTGTCTGAAATCAGAAATGCTATGAGGCAAAAATCCGGCGAGCCTGTAAAAAATTATGTATATCGCTATAATAATATAAACATGCGAATATAAGTTGCGATAGACGGAGAAGGTGGCGATTATAAAGAAATGCATCGCGTTTATGAGTCCAACAAAGCGATAGAAAAATTCGTACGCGGATTATACCCAGAGGGATTACGACTCGCCGTCCAACAAAAAAATCCGCACACTCTTCCTATAGCATATCAACAAGCCATGTATGAAGAACAACGGAGAAATGAAGATGATAGGCTACGCGCTAAAAATCGTATCGATGCTACGTACGAATACGCCGATCAAAGAAAAGAGCGAGAGAAAAGGGAAAGTCGGCCTAAAGACAGGTATGCGCGCCCAAATAAACACTACTCCAAAGATAGATACGACTCAGCACCAAGGGAAAGATATTATAGTGATAAAAGGGAAGATAATCATCATAGTAGATCACGAGAACAGTCAACAGACCGCTACCAATCTCGCGATAGAACGCCTCCAAAGGTTACGTTCGAGAAACATGATAGGCCTCCAAAGCCCACGTGCTCATACTATGGAGTATATGGCCATGATAAATCTAATTGTTATAGATTAAAAAATGCACAAGGCAAAAATTTTCCGAGACCAGCCTCAAGTCAACACTTGATGAAAGAAGAGAACGCCTCATGGACCGAGGACGACCCGCCACAATGCTTTTGGAACGACATGCAGACGCAATATATCCCTCAAATGGACGACACTGGCATCTATGGCTTAAGCCAACAGGCACAAGAAGACGAATATTAAAATTTTTAGTAGACACCGGAGCAGGCCTCTCAATAATCAAAGACTCAGTACTGGATAAAAAAACTTGTAATCCCATTAAACAGCCGATGCATGAGAGAAAAACAATTCAAATAGTGAATGGACCACATACAATGTACGGCCAATGCAAACTCAAAACTTTCGGAAAGGACTTTATTTACAATGTAGCTGCAGACTCTTTTCCGCTTGACGCCGACGGACTTTTAGGCAGAGATTGGCTCAAAAACTATCAGGCTATAATAAATACTACAGACGAAATAATAGAAATCAAAGACGAACACAAAAACATATTAAGTTTTAAGTTTAATAGAGAACTCACACCGCTTCAACCTGGAATAAATATTCTTACTGTCAAAATTAATGAGCCGGACGGAGATTATATCATTACAGATCAAAAAAACATAGTGACGCCTGCAATTTATAACGTAAGGGATGGAAAAGCGAAATTAAGTTGCATAAATAATTCAGAGAAACAAGTCAATATATACACTGACTTACACATAGAACAATTCAAAGAAAACATTTCAATATTAAACAATAACATTCCTAACGACCAGAGGAAAGCGCTTCTACAACAGTTCTATTCTCAAGAAAGTAATATCTATGCAACGCAGGATAGGGACAAACTTATTACTGAAAATACACGGGTTTCACACCTGCCGCAAGAACAAGCCAATGCTATCTTAACACTTGTTAGAGCTTTCTCGGATATATTTCAACTTGAAGGAGATGCCGCCCCTTCACTCGATGACGTATATCACCGAATAGATTTAACTACAGCTCAGCCTATCAGTTCAAAACTATATCGACACCCGATGGCATTGCATAAAGAAATTGATAAACAAATCACGGACCTTGAAGAAAGAGGAGTAATAGTGAAGTCAAATTCGCCCTTCCTTTCGCCCGTATGGTGTGTACCTAAGAAAATGGATGCCTCAGGGGTACAGAAGTATAGAGTAGTAATTGACTTTCGGAAATTAAATGAATACACACTCCACGACAACTATCCGCTACCCTCAATAGATGAAATCTTAGATCAATTAGGAGAAACAAGATACTTTAGCGCGTTTGACCTTTTTAGCGGTTTTTATCAGATCCCTGTATTACCAGAGCACCGCGAACGAACAGCATTCAGCACCCACAAAGGACATTGGGAATTTAAACAGATGCCAATGGGACTCAAAAATGCACCCGCGACCTTTCAGCGCATAATGAATTTAAAATTGCAAGGATTAATTGGCACAATATGCTTTGTATATCTAGACGATATCATAGTATATTCAAAAACATTTGAAGAGCACCTGCAAAATTTACAAACTTTATTTCAACGACTGAGGAAGACAAAATTAAAACTACAACCAGATAAATGCGAATACGTAAAGGCAGAATTAGAATACCTTGGACACTTAATTACAAAAGAAGGAGTTTTACCGAACCCAAGTAAGATAGACTGTATAAGGAACTACAAACAACCCGTTAATCAAAAGGAAGTACGCCAGCTATTAGGTCTATGCGGATATTATAGAAAATTCATCAAAAACTACGGTAAAATAATCGTACCTTTAAATAAGCTCATGTGTAAGGACCAAAAGTTTGAATTTACTCATGAATGCCAAGAGGCCTTCAAAACATTGAAAGAAAAATTAACCTCAGCGCCTATATTACGTTACCCAAACCTCGAAGAATTATTTATACTCACAACCGATGCAAGTAACGAAGGACTCGGAGCAATATTAAGTCAAGGAGATTACAAAAAGGGAAAAGATTTACCTTGTGCATACGCATCACGAGCACTTAATAGCGCAGAGAAAAACAACTCGACCACTGAGAAAGAATTGCTCGGAGCCGTCTGGGCTATAAGGCATTTTAGACACTTTTTATATGGAAAGCCATATTTAAACTACTTCTTAAAATAGCTGACTTTCAGCTAATGGTTGAATATAAAAAGGGTAGATTAAATACTAACGCCGACGCACTTAGCCGAGTATTTTGCACTGAAACTCTTTGCAGCATTGTATGGACGCGAGACAGTTACCCTGCTCTCACTATCACAAAGTACAAATGGCAATCGACGCCAGCAACAAAATTATTGAAGGAGTCGACCGAAAAGGGGACTAAAGCGTTAGAATTTAGTGAAGATTTTACCCTACAGGAAGTTGAGAACTCGATCAGTCACCTAAGAATGGTAGCAACATCAAACGGCATTAATCGGCTCTACATAAAAAGGAAACATCGTTATGAAAAACCAGTTGATGCAAACAAAACTATCAAGTCTGCTCCCCTAGCTGACCCGGATATAGCTAGTGAGCAACCTAAGACTACGGCAAGACCATTATCGCCAATAACAAACGATGTTGAAGATTCAGATCTGCCTTTAAAACAACGACTACCTCGCCAGCGAGGAAGGCCAAAAATGAAGTCGCAAGTTATTATGAATAATAAATGTAAAGGAGACGTAATTTTGGAACCTTCTGAAGAGCTTATAACTAATCCACTGCCCGTAGTAATAGACATTCTTAATAAACTCAAAGCTGATGAAACTCTAGAATTCAGAAAAATCGATCACAGTACATCTCAAAAATTAATTCAGAAATTTGCTGAAATGGCCAACAAAATGAGGCGGCCAACTCTCTACATTAAAAGCACAGAGCAGCAACACGTAAATAATGAAGCTACACAAAAAACACTACTAGGTAGGGCACACGGTGAAACACACTGGAAGCAAGATAAAATGACAATTGAGCTTAGAAAATACTGTTGGGAAACAAAAACAGAGGATATAAGAAATTGGATCGATTCGTGTGAACATTGTCGTAATGAGGAGATAAAGAAACGATTCCGAGCGCCAGGCACACTCATTGAAGCACCCTCAGATATCAACGAAATCTGGTACATAGACCATGCGCAACCAAAGAAATATTTATATTTATTTGTAATCGAAGCACTATCAAGATATGTAAAGGTCATAATTCTAAATAGTTTCGATGAAACCACAGATGCCCTTAAAAACCTATTCTGTGAATGGGGGACGCCTAAAAAAATAATATCCGATAACGGCTCAACATTTCATTCAAAGTCATTTCAAAAGCTATTAGAACAATATGGAGTAAGCCACTATCCAGTTACGCCTCTACACCCTCAATTGAATGGAATTTGCGAGAGAGTTATTGGCACACTCAAAAATAAAGTTACTCGAGCGCTAGAAAACAACCGATCACACATACCTACAGTAATGAGCTACAACAATACAATACACCCAAGCACAGGATTTTCACCTTACGAACTCTTTTATGCCCGTGCACCACGTGAAATGATAACCGGTCCTCTGCTACGAGATATTATCGAAGGAAGATTCCACAAAGCCAATCGAGATAAAATCACCGCAAAAGTAAAGATCGATAAAAGTAAACAGAGAAATAAAAAATTAGTGGACTCACGACAAGCATTAAAATTTAAACCAGAATTACAGCAACAAGTGATGTTCAAGTTAGGGAACGAATATCAAGGGCCGGGAACAATACTTACAATAAATCGAAATGCTAATACCACACAGATATTATATAATAATGCTTTATTCAGACGACATTTCAATCAATTAAAGCCATTGCCTGACGTTTTTATTTCAGATGAGGGAACTCTTAGTGCTACTCAACATATTCATTAATGTACAAGGAAAAATCAGTATAACACATCAATCTGTACCATTGCTGAGACAGAATTTCGGCACTGCTTTTCTTTACGAAGATACTTGGACCATAGTCAATCATATTAACTTGACTGTACTCCTACTTAACGGAAGAGAAATTGAACAGCATTTAGATCTCATAACTACCACGTGTAGTGGCTACAAGTGTCAAGCTAAAGATTTCATTGCACACCAGAAACGCCGATTACGCAGTCTAACGCAGAAGTTATCGCTTTTTCAGCCACACCCTGTAGAAGCCAAAAACAGAAAAAAAAGAGGCTTATTTAACTTTGTCGGATCAGTCAACAAATTTCTTTTTGGTACAATGGACGCAAATGACGCAGAGTACTATAATCAAGAAATCGACAAACTATATAACCATACAGGGAAAGCCCTGCTAGCAGTAAGAAATCAAACAATATTTATGCAGGATACTTTTAATGAATTTTCAAAAGAATTTCATACATTCAAGAATAACGAGCAGGAATTGTTAAATTGGAGTAGGAAAATGAAATCTGTATTTACAGACTATCAGGCAAACACAATGATACATCTATCACTTGAAGAAATCGACGTAGCGATTGAAGAATACGATAATTATATTACAGAGTTATTTACGGCTATAAACATTGCTCGAAACGGCTTATTATCACCAGCACTTATGAAGCCAGAAACACTCATACAAGGTCTACGTGAAGCATATGAACAAAATGTATATATCGACATACTTTTACCACCTCACATAAATAATTATTTCTCTATTATACAGTCCATGACATTTTCATCATACATATCCAAAGCAGGACTTACAATAGTTACTAAATACCCCATTGCACATGCAGATCCTTATGAAATTCTAAAGTTACGAGTACTACCTTTTGAAAGTCGCTTAAACGTACTTGGATTGTTCGATGTAACACAGCAATACATACTCGTATCAAAGGATAACACTAAATACACGGCTATTGATGACGTTAACACATGCTCACGCAATGATCAAGGAAGACTATGCTCAATTCAGTTCTTTCCAAAACGCCTGCAGTCACTAGATAATTGTGAAAGACTTCTCTTTGACGATGTAACGAAATGCCCGCCAAAGTACTTTGCATTATCGCAACCCTTCATACAAAGATTAAACAACACCAGCTTTTACATAC